GCTTATGGCAACGCAGGCAGCCGAGAAGCCCTGGGAACGAGGATGGTAAGCCCTGGGACAAGCCGAACCGGAACACCACAAATTCTGGTGTTTTCCGGAAGTAAACGTGCTCTGCTGCAGCTAAAAAATGCTGACTGTGCATTAATTTTTACTGAGGAGTGGAGACGTGTTGGCGAGAAGAAAATATTGGATTTTTCTTTTGTTTCGATGTATTTTCCACCATCAAGGGAATATGTGCAGACCACCTAATGGAATTATACATATTGGGGTTTTATATTTCGTTATATCGTTAATATGCGTCAAAATACAACCATATTTCGGTCTCGTATTACATGTATCAATTTTCATGTATGATGTAAACATGATCGAGTCGAAATGTGCTCGAAGTGGTTTGATTCGAAACATCATGGGTTCTTGTACAGATGACCTGTTTCAACACGCGCTTGTAAAGTCACTTCAAAGATTGGACAAAGCTGGACTGGAAATTAAAGAGAAGTAATTCGAATTAGCTTTATCGTCTATCGTATGTTGTATAAAGGAACAAGAACGACATGTGACATATCTAAACGGCGGTGTGTGTCTGTTTACTGGGTTACAACAACTGCAATAACAATGAATCACCTAACATTTCAAGAAAATATAAATTATAGATAGATGTCATGCATGACCCCATGAGTTTTGGATTTGAATTGCTAGATTTAAATCTATATTATGTATATACAAAATCATGCGTGCGTAAATTGGAGCAAAAAAGCACAAGGTGTTTGTTTGGCCATATGCCCATCATGTAGTATGAATATTGAACACCGTTTTATATAGCACGTTTAAAACGTTATTTCCATGCCGGATAATTCTGAATCCTTCACAGATTACATGCGTGGCAAATGAAGAAAAATAATTATGTAAAATAATTAACCTAATATGTCTTTAGCCCTGAATGCAACTCACTATGCTGCTTTATACATCTGACAGTCAAAACTATGTGCATGACTGTATGGCCCAATGTATGTTAATTGTTTCAGGGAAATTTTTGTTTTCAGATTAAAGTATAGCAATATTTTCTGCATTCCAATATATTTTCTACATGCAAGTGTGCCTTCTGTTTCAGATAGGGGTCAAATCATTTGAGGCCAAATGGGATAGCCAATGATTGGAGGGTAATGTTAGCAAATTTGACTCCCTTACATAATGTCAAGTTATCACTGGTCAATTTTTAAATTTCTTACAATTTCACATCAGGGAGTTCATTGCCCCCTCATTATCCAGAAGTGTGACTAAGCCTTTTCTAGTATCTATCCAGGTGTCCAATATAAATCTCCACCACAACAGGATGTATACCTGAGTGATGGTATAAAGGGAGGTGGGGTTAAAATTCTGATTTATCAACATATTACTACACATTTCCACATTAAAAATATGAAAAGTTTTCCAGTTCAATATATCTATAGCAGGAGGCTTAAACCAGAATTTCAGAATACAAAGCAACTTTTATGTCATTTTTGTAATGGTTTGTTTAAAATCAATTTTTATACAGACATGGTAGGGTGTCTCCTGGCTAGAAGCCTGCATATACATATACAAATTTTCAGTTTTGTCAATAATAATAGTTTATTTTATAATTTCAATTCTTACAAGATTTGCAATAAGTCAACAGAATAAGTATTCTATTCTGAACTGTTGACAGGAAACAGTGTAAATTCATGATCTCATCCAATATGACACAAGAATTCGAGACCCCCACCTCGGGCATACCAGGGGTTAATTTGGTGTGTGAAATTCAGTGAAGTCCCCTGCAGCCAGGGCAAAATGGCAAGGTAAATTTCTTCGGTCCTATCATCCCCAGGTATTCAATTGGAATTTTTACTTGAAATTTCCCAAACCATTCCTTTACTGTTCTATAAAAGCCTTTCCTAGCCGACTGCTTTATTTCAGCATTTATATAGCCGACTGCTTTATTTCAACATTTATATAAAAGACTAAGTGACCCCCTCCCCCATGACCTCATTCATTCCTCGACTTGGACACTGAAAGTAAGTGTCTTCCCTGTTTGCCAAGAAATGATAAACCAGTGAATAAGAGGCGATTGTCCTTGCATTCCCCTCTGGTATGCCAAAGGTGCAGGGATTCAAATGACTGCATGGTGCAATTGAATATGCTTATAAGCTTATTCACTGTATTTAAAAGCTATTAAAATTACTCACTAATAATACAACTGAGAAAATTCAGAAATAGTAAAATACACCTATAATATTCTATATGCTATATTTATAAATTCCAATTGGCCATTTTAATATAGGCTGGTATTAAATAGGCCAAGTGATCAATACCAAAAGCATAATAATTAATAAAACACAATATATTACACCATTAAAACTTTACCATCGTAAATATATATTATTAAACATTTTATATTTACAGTGTGCTTAAAATTTTACAATTATACTTGAGGCACAATGTTTTAATAATAGACAACTTTATAACAAGAAAATGTTAAAATGAAGAAACTTTTTAATGGCTTCATAATTGACGTTTCTTCGATATTGTTGCTTACTTCTACTTTATAATTGTCCATTTTGTTATTTTTCACTCGGTTTGCAAATTATCTCCATTAATCCATAGAAAACAAGCAGTTTACGTTTGTATTTGTTCGTATTTCGAACGCGCACTCCTTGAAGGCAGCCATATTGCCGAATATAAACATCCACTTGATGAATAAACTTTTCATATTTCACTCTATTTCCAACGACCAATCAAATCGCTTCTGCTTCGGCTTGTCCCAGGGCTTACGGCAACGCAGGCAGCCGAGAAGCCCTGGGAACGAGGATGGTGTGGCCAGAGCCACTCAACGATGGCTCTGGGTACGAGATTGTTTACAGCTAGGAAACCGGAAACCAATGTACTCGGGCAAATTGACTCCGGGAGCAAACTGCATAGCAACCGGCCATCGTGAAGACACGATTGTAGGTTGTCTACACGAAGGATACGCACAAGAAACAGTTTCATACCGAACTGTTTGACATCCAGGTGAATACAATCGAATTTCGAACAATGCATAAACTACGTAGAATCTCAGTTTGTGCTTTTGTAAAGAACAACGTAACAAAAAGGTCATTCGTCGCTTTGGTGGTTATATTCTGTCTCATGCGGTTTGCCATGTTTGGCATTCATTATTACAATGAGCTGGAAAAGTACTATGTCGGGGTAATGTGAAAATGCTTTTATAAATTTGGATAATTTAAATTATATTCCTATTATTATAAAATTGGACAGTCCTATTATTATAAAACTGGATATGTAGCAATTGCGAGAGTTGACCAGAGGCAGTTCGTTCCCGTTTATTTGTGACCGCCAAACTTATCATTAATTTAATAATTTAAGCTTGTTATTAGAATTTTGATGAGAGTTTTTTGCGGAAAGTATACATCATGTTGTTTGAGCGGGCCGACATAGATACGAGTTGAGAAGTCATGGAAACTCTTGCTTGTCATGTCATCAAGTCTGTCCGCATTTTATTTTGACTGCTTCGTTTCCACTGGCGTCGTATATAGGTGGTGTCAGGCAAGTTACGTCACAGTCGCCATGTTGGATGACAAAGGATTTTGCTTGTTTGCAATGCAAATTATTAATATCAACCAACATGGAGAAATCGCGAAAATCTCATTGCCCTTTGAATTCCATGGCCTGGGAGTGATTGCACATCACCTGTACTTTTAATTCATTCGAAAATTATTTCAATATGAGGATGTCCCAAAAAATCCTGTCCCAAAAAAACCCAAACTATTGAAATAACGTATTGTTAGAATAAGCTAAAACCCAAGGATGCGTAGAATATTGACAGGGCGCATATATTATAAATAATGACTTATTAAGAAATTAAAATGTCTTTGTAAAGCGCACTTTCTGCTGTTGGGAATTCAAAGCATCTTCTTAAACATGCGTTTCTTTATGCATAAAATTTACTTATGTCAAGCTTTTATGCACTTGTGTGTTCAGCAGAGTGGTCTCGCTAAAGGAAATAAGGAATTCAAGATAAATTGATCATGGAAAGAGCAGGGCATGAAACGTCAGGTCATTACATCAGTATCTGAGGCCTAGTGTACAGAGTACAAAGTAGAAATATCTAAAGCGTTCGATCAGATTAGCAATAGAACTGCAGATATAGATGAATGTCAGCAACTTATTAAGAAGGAAGGGAACAAATTTCCAAATATAAAAAGCCAAGGTAATAGCTGTGTTCATGTGGTTGAGTGAGATGTCATTTGTGAGCAGTGGGATGCCAGCAAAATCTTGATAGTGAGACGCAACAGCCCACGTCACACGTATACAATTAATGAATTTTTTATCTGAAATTAGATTGTGCCGACTTGCTTGTAAAGGTTGACCCCATGTAAATTACAAAGGTGCCCAGAGCTATTTTCTGAGCGAATTCTTCATGCAGCTAAGCAAAACGGAAATAGTAGAATCTAAGTTTTGTCTACATACCCAATAACTTCCGAATTCCTTCAGAACGTACATTTCAACTAGTTTGGTGATAAAAATCAATTTGCTGACCCGTAAACTGTCAGGGGATTTTTTGTTCTGGTTTTTATTCCTGCATGTTAAGACTATGCGCTGTAATACAAATTAAAAATATAAAAATTATCTGATACTAGATTATGGTGGGGAGTATGTTGAAAGTTTTTCATTGTACACAGAAGAAAGTTGCCTCCTAAAAGAAGTGACATGCACTCTGATTACAAGTTTTTAACTCGTGTGGGAGATTGTTCCGTAATTATAATTTAATTGATTTTGGAAAAAATGAATTTTGGTTGTAGTATTGTTTGTGGTTAAAGTAGTATATACGAAATTTCAACTACGGCAACATCTCTCACTGGCTTAGTAATAACCTTCTGATTGGATAATTGGATATATATTGGTTGTCAAATCATATCTGAACCTTTCTATCTTAATAGAAAAACAGACTAATTCATGACGATATATGCAGGTTCAAAACAAATAATATTCATATAGAATAATTCGGTAAATTATATAAAACTCTCGTTGACAACTTGTTACAAGGTTGTTGACCCAACAGACTTGTTACAAGTTGTTCCAACAACTTGTTATTGTCCTGCAATTAGCCTTCGCACGAATGCCAAAATCCGCCATTTTGGGGGGAACTGTCTGCCCTTGTGAAAGATTCTAGACAATTCAAACAACGTGAAAAGCAACTTTTAAAAGTTGTAACTGTAAATTTACCATTATACAAACAACTACAATACTAAAAAAATACTTTCGTGTTGCGGAGATTCTCAAACTTGGGGGAGGTCATATGAAGGGAAGATGGCTGTGAAACTCATTAGAATAACAATATAACTCATTATCTACGTTAGTCAACGTTTATTCATAAATCTGGTCCTTCACCGTCACGTGCGTATTGTATTTTTTTCCCAACAAACCAATAGCAATGTTTTAGGAAAGTCACCTATCCGTGACTCAAACAATATAGCGAAATTGGAAATTGCTATTGGTGGATTTGTGAAAAGTACAATACGCACGTGACAGTCAAGGACCAGATTTATGAATAAACGTTGACAACATAGATAATGAGTTGTATTGTTATTCTAATAACTTTCACAGCCATCTTTCCTTCGATATGCTATGGGGAGGCTAATTCACCAATTCACTGGGGCGTATACCGAGCGATGTTTGTGTTTTGGGGAGGGGGGGGGGTTGCGACACCCCACACCTCAGAGGCAGTTGCATCCCTACCAAAGAAAGCTTGTTAATATAATTGGCCCTAACCCACACTGGCACAGCCAGTTCAAGATTAGTATTTACAGTCTGTCAAGATATGACGATCAAACTTCAACTCCACAAAACAGAACACTTTTGTTTGATGTTGAACTGTATCTCACCGCGCACAAGTCCTTTGTCTCAACTTCATTAAATATTACTTATCGTGATTGTACAGTACGTTTCATCTCAGCAAGCCTTATTGGACGGTTACTTGATAGAGTTCAATCACCGTGCACAAATTCACATCAACCCAGACAAAAGCATAACACAATGACTTCAATTCAGTTTCCATCATATCTTGATAAACTATAATGGTAACGCGTTTCTTTAGTAACTAGTATTTACAATACTGATTAAAGAAATCCTCACCACGTAGTTTGTGATATTGTACAGGTTGCCAATGCAGATATGTTATCTGGAGACTTTACTTGCAAAAGCTCAATATCCAAGACGTCTTGTACGTTTTCTATGGATCAACACAGCGGGATGAGAGTTTGTCTAAATCTTGGTAAAAAATGCAAAGGATTTACATATAATCTTGGTCCCAACACTGTCACATTGAAGACGGGAGTTTTAGATCGACCGAAATTTACTCTGGGAGTTATAACTGTTCTAAAGAAAGAATATAAAGAGTTTCTAGACATTCGAGAAGAAAGTTGTGCACCAGTATTGGTAAGTTAGGCATTCATATCATTTCATTATTTGTTTCTTAAAATTGCATTTCATTGCGAATACGTTTCTTAAAATTGCCGGCCAGTTCTTACTCGTTCTATTTTCTGATGTGCTTCTAGGAAAGCCAAACAAAGTCAAATGAAGATAAGAAAAAGAACAAAATATGCAATCTTCCCGTCATTGATCCATTTGATCCAACGGTGATGAAAATGATCGAGAACGTTCCCCCACTGGTGTGTAAAGGAGAGAAAAACTTGACTTTTTATCAAAATGGAGTATTAAGAATTACTCCAGGTTCGTGACATTTTGTTTTTAACTTAAAAATCACAAAACAACATGGAGAACACAAGTCCCTTATTAAGCCTGATTCTCATAAGTCGCCGACGTCGGCGATATGCCATTGTTTGAGATCAGTGAAGAAGAACATAGACAAAAGATTTTAGTCATCAATGATCAACAACAATGGGCATCGCCGACGTCGGCGACATAGAGAATCAGGCTTTAAGTCGCACCAAAAATTTACAGATATTATACCAAGGGTACAACAGTATATATAGAAAGCTTAAGTAAGCGACGTTTCTGATAACACGAACGCCAACCGGTATATTTGTATAGGTAATAGTATGGTTTCGAGCAGAGGGTTTCGAGTGCAATTCGGGAAGAAACATACATGAGTGCGTTTTTCATATATAGCCGATCAAAAAGAAAGAAAGTAGTGTTATAAAATACGACCTAATGGAAATAAGATCCAATGTTGTATTTGTTTTCATACGCTATAGGCAAAAGTGTAAAGAAAGTTGACTATCAAATTTTGCAAAGAAAAAGTAATTCAGGTCAAGGTTACGACGTTTTCCGAACAGGCACGTTGACGCCGTCGGATCCCGAAGTGAAACTAAACGAGGATATGGTATATCTTGAGATCGAATCTGACAATGGTGACCAACAAAGAGAGTTCCATCTTGATGTACAACCGCGTAAAGAGTACGTAGAGCGCATGGCAGAAAGCAAACCTGGAATACCGCTGAACATAATGATGGTCGGCATGGATTCTACATCACACGCACATTTTCATAGGAAACTGGCTCCAGTGTATAAGTATTTGAAAGAAGATCTGCAGTCGGTTATATTTAACGGACATTCGATAGTAGGTGACGGAACAACGGAAAATGTCGTAGGAATGCTTGTTGGACGGCTTCTTGATGAATTACCGGAAGCCAGGAAAGGGTAAGCAGACCGCTCCAAAAATACTTCGTTTTAGATTACGTTTACATTAGGGCAAACATTTCCAGATTCGTAAAAATATTCAGATTCTTTGCTGTACTAGCCAGCCTGACAGAGTGGAAGCCACTTTTCAGTTCTTCCCAAATTATGACGTCATATTGTGTATCTATAACTGAACAGACAACGGCAAAATCTTATCTCTTTGTTATATATTATATATATGATTTCCTTTCGTTTGTTAGGAGACATGGTGCAAATTGTATCGACCGCTGGCCACTCATATTCAAAGACATGCGGGCGCATGGTTACGTCACATATTACAGCGAAGACGAGGTTTGGAACGGTGCTATTACCGCTCGACTTTATGGTTTCTGTAAACCGCCTATCGACCACTATCTGCTACCATTGTGGTATGCTGGTCTAAACAAAATGACATCAATGTATAGAAAAGTTGTAGAAAAAGGCACATATATTAAAGGTCACTGCCTAGGTTCTCAAGCTATCTACAACGTCAGCTTCAATGCTGTACAAAGCTTCTTTGCAGCTTATCCCAACACTCCAAAGTTCGGGTTTCAATTCAATGCAGATTTTTGCCATCACGAGAATTTTAATTTTATATCACTTGTCGAAGATAGGCTGTTAAATTTTCTCAAACTTATGAAGGATAAAAACTATCTTAATAATACTTTGTTGATTTTATTCGGAGATCATGGACTTCGTTATGGCTTTGTACGTTCCAGTATTATCGGTCGTATGGAAGAAAGATTGCCTTTTCTATCTCTGACTTTCCCGCCTTGGTTCCAATACTCTTATCCAGAACTCTACGCGAACTTACGGAGAAACGCCGAGGTGCTTACGTCACATTTCGACCTTCACGCGACTTTTCAACATCTTTTGACATATCCGAAAGAGCCACAGGGTTTGCCTCATGGGAAAAGTCTTTTGACAAATATCGGGTGGAGAACCTGCAAACAAGCTGGAATACCTTTTCATTATTGTCCGTGTTTGGACTGGGACCCAGTTAGCGCTGATCACAAGGATGTGCGGAACAGCGGGCTCGCTGTCGTCAGCAAAATTAATAATATGCTAAACGAAAGTGGTATCAGTAACAAATGCGCAAAATTAAAACTAGGAAAGATTAAATCCGCCATATTGGTCAAGTCCAAAATCGGAGAGGACGACGAAGACAGCAATGCAGGAATTCTCAAAGGTAAGTTGCTTTGATTTGTGTATACCCTATTTACTCGTTTAAGCACTGCAGCGCTCCTAAAATTTTAGGTGCAGGTACGGATGCGGCGCTTATTTGTAAGAAAATCTCTAGAGACCTTACGATTTTAGGCGACGGCCAAAACAAACTCCTTCAAATAAATGGTAGTCGATAGTTCGTCGTATATTATCAATCGTATGAATTTAATACAGTTTTAGAAGTTGAAGACATGGGTTTTATGGTTGGAAAGAGTTCTGCTGAACCCAGTTTGAAGTTGCACTTGTTGTGGCTTGGAATGCAGCCGTCGTTGTATCAACACGTGAAAATCTGTGATTTGGCGTTGTAAACAGAGCGAGGACAATGTCTAAATTATTCATTTATTGTAATTACTCAATTCTTTTCAATGATCTATTGTATTGGTAGCCGTTGCCGTAGCGTTGCCGTCCTAAAATCGTAAGGTCTCTAATAACCGGAATGAACGGTTTACATGAATGGGTTGTTCTCTTTTAACGGATAGGGTTCGTCCCAAGACTGTGAATTTAACGTCCACCGTTTTGCCTCCACTATGTTTGACCAGGGTTTGACGAACTCATGGGCGTTGGTTGCGGGGTTTGGGTGAAGGTTAGGGTTTTATTAGGACTTAGGAGATTACGACACCGAATGCCAAGTATAAAATAAAACTTTTACATTTTTTAGCGAACATGTTGCAGATCCCACCGTGATATCGCTTATGAGCTTATCTGCCCGATTATATATTTTTATTTGCACAGGTGGCTGTATGTACCAACTTCAGATCGAGACATCGCCAAATGACGGGTTATATGAAGCAACAGTACAAGTAATCAGCGGTGAACCTCGTGTTAATCCTCAGCTAAGCAGAATCAATGAATATGGCAATGCAGCGCAGTGTATAAGAAACACACAGCCATTACTTCGAAGGTTCTGTTATTGTTTGAAAAACAAATGACAATACTGGCAAAGAATGTTAAAATGCATCTCAAAATGATTACCCGTACAAATTTTGTCCACACCGTTACCATTTTTTTAAATCAGGAGTGAAATAATCAATCGTGACGCAATTATTCATTATTTATTTTAGGTATTTCCTATTGAACTAAAAATAAGTAGGTGCATTTTACGTCGTCTTAAACGATGTTTTAGTGCATTTTTTTAACCTAGTTTTGGAAATTAAAAAACCCCGCGTTTTTCCGTTACGTTAAAAGACTGGGCATGGCACTACGTCACTGAAGCCCACTGTATTCATGCCACATTTGCCCCAATGTCGTCTAACTTCGTATTCGACTACAATAGTAATTTTGAGGTGCTCTTTCAAATGGTTGGTTGAGATCACTCCTTAATTTAGTCTTTCTGTCCCGTTTTAATCAACGCTAAATTCAAATTGATTATCATAAATTTTATATTAATAATACACACCACGTAAATTAATTTAAAGTGTTTCCACAAACAAAACCGTTATATTTTATCGCCATGCAAACATACAAAGAACTTATTAATTTGTTTTGTTATGGTGAAATATAAAATTATTCAATTGAGTGTAAAGTTTTGTCTATATCGAAAAGCACGCAAAATAGTTGTTATCAGGAATTTGCGTATTTGCAAAAAATTATACTGCACGGTTTTAGGTGCATGACACCAATACTTTTTTAACCTACAACATTCTAGCTTCGCATTGTCGATTGCGAAGTTAATATCCATCAGTTCGACGTTGTGACATGAACAACACCAAATAGTAATTGACCATGGCACAAGCTCAATATTAAGTTAGGGGAATGGGGGTTTAAGATACGCAACATAATTTTACATGAAATTTATCATAAGGGGTATGCGCACTTTGCAGAGACGTTAAGAAGTCTCGACCAGTTATATCCAAGATTACCTGTGCCTCAATACAACGCTTCAACAGTTGTACAACAGTTCAATATCGCGTTTATTGAGATACAAGGTAACTCAATAAATCTGTTACATTTTCGAGGTATTATTTTATTTTTTTTGGTATGTCTATTAAACTAGAGATTTCAAATTTTATCAGTTTTGCTGGCTAGTAGCCTAATTTTTGACTCACGGATGTTGCATCTGTGATTCTGTGAGTCTTTGTCACATGTCTTTGTGGCTTGGGGCAGTTAAACAATAGGAAATGACCAGCCTGCTTTGGGCCTTTCAGAACCAGAAATCGGGCTAGAGCACGCGTTCGTTCTTTTGATTTGGCAAAAGAAGCACTACAAATGAGTACAAATGGCAACTCATTTGCACAGTGCTCGTTTGCAAAACAACTGCAAACGGTTTTAATTCTTTCTGTCACTTTCATTTGATCTCATCGGTGACTCTGGCCTTAACGGCCTTTGATTAGAAACTTTCCGTCGAAATTTTAGGTCACACTGGTGTGAAATGAAGTATCTCACCAATTCGGGTGTGCAACTGCTGACCCGGATGTACATCGTGTTCATAAGAAAAGTGAAAATTCACGACATGTTTTGATGTTCATGTGAATTTGTCGAAAGAAATTCAGCATTTCTTCTTTGAGATCAACAAAAAATGGTACGTTATTTTGCCTCGTACTTTATTCCTCAGCATTTCGTTATAGTTGTCTATTCAAACTTAATATTCTCGCCTTTAAACAGGAGATTTTTGTGATGGTTCGTCGCGCGAAGTTGACAATGTTTCTCGATTGTACGGAATCAACGACCGTGTCTGAACTCAAAAAAATGATCGAAGGCATCGCCAAGAAGGCTCCCGAAGACCAGAAGTTGTTCAAAGATGAACAATCTCTGGATGATAATAAAACGTTGGGTGATTATGGTTTCACAAGTCAGACAGCGAGACCACAAAGCCCAGCGATGATTGGTTTGGCTTGCAAGGTTGAAGGTTAGGCTTGACCGTTGAGTTAGATGATTAATAAGTTAGGCCCTATTCATATGAGCTGGCTGACTCACAACTGGCGAGATCTCGCCTTGTATATTATTATATGTTTTCGAAATTTGGTTCACATGGGAACCGGACCAGCCCAAATTGCCCAGACCGCCAACTTGAGCGAAGCGAGATCTTCCCTCAGACTGGCGAACTGGGCTGGAAATTGTGTCACAACATGCTTTAAGCACAGAGTAGATACAGATACAGAGTTATAGCTAGTGTACCCACTTTTTTTGTACACATGCTCGGCAAGTTACTAGATGCATGCATCCCATTGGATGGCGGCATGCGCCAAGCACGCGCAGTTGATAATTTTTTGCCTGAAAAGAAGTGGGTACATGAAAATGTAAGTTTCCACAGTGTTTACGACGGCCTGTTACAACTCTGTATATATCTACTCTGTGCTTTAGGTACAGGTATTCTATATACATAATCATAATGTATTTATTTAAAGGTACAGATGACTGGGAGCCATTGAACATCACAAATCTATCCACACCCCCTGATCCACCTGATGTTATGATTCCACAAGAAAGCAGTGCGCCTGAGGCTAAATAACTCCATCCTATGTCGTAGTATTCATTATATTGCTATACACATAAAAATGATACGTTAAAGGCATTGTTAATCACACGTAAACATGGTTTGGAAGTTCACGCTATGATTCGCTATCGTAAAGCACTTGCCATGTTCCTAGCCAGTGTGTTAAGAAGAAGCTGTCGCCCCCTGAAAACATTCAAAATGGCCAGCTTGTCTTTGGCGTTCAGGAGGAACATGGCGAGTGCTTTGCGATTGAGAATACATAGGGTGGCGGTGGTTACAGGTTTTTGGCTGAGTTGGACCTCTGTATTGTGTATATTCTGTGGTAAAACAATAGATAATAAAAACACCAGATAGGAAACTCATGATCACATATGAAGAACAAGTTATTTCGCTGACCTCAGAATGACATTTCGTCAAAAAAATTTTCTTCAAGATTGGTTTAGAAACAAACTTGGAGTAGGGTTAGGTTAGGGTAAGAATTAGGGTAGAGTTGGTGTTTGGAATAGGGTTAGTGTTAGTAAAACCGTTGCTTTGTTACGTTTTGTCACTCTGAGGCCAGCGAAATAACCTCTTCCCACATATGATGCTTCAAGCTTGTTGTTGATTGTGTCTCAGCTTTGTTGAAACTTTAATTATGGCATCACCAAAACCATAACAATTGTACGTTTACCTATCTAAGCGATCATCCAACACTCAACTTGTACACAGGTTTTTCTCAACATCAGAAAGCTTTGATGTTCTCACCAGACTTCCTAACCATGTTTATATATTAGCTATGGTCTAGTTGGAAACAAACTGGTGGTTTTAATCCGATATTATATGAAACAATTTTTAGCGACGATACCCAAATATACAAATGTTTAGAATGACTGTAGAATTCTTTTGGCTGCTTCAAGTCTCATAATTTTGTGTTTAAAACAATCTAAAACTAAATATGAAGAGTTGTGGGTAAGCTATATCTTTCAAATTACGTAGAAGAAGATATTTGCTTGATAAATTAAAATAATAATTTAAACATGTTACGATTTGATTTGTGAAGAATGTGACAGATGCAAAGATCTCACATTATAAAATTCTGGCTTTAAACGTAATTCCCTGAATTCAAAAGGTTGCTCTATCCAGTCGTAATTTTGAGGCCAGTGGTCGTACACCAGTTGGAGTTTAACCTCGTCCTTACCACAGAGCAATTACATACAGAGGTCTCACTTCAGGTTATTTATATTATTGGAATTTCAATGTTTCAGGGGGGGGGGGGGGTGAATGCCTGTCTTTACGGCTCTTGCTGAGAACATGGCCACCAGATATGCGCAATAAAAACTACCTCGCAGAAGTGAGACATCTGTATGTAATTACTCTGTGTCCCTACCTCCATTCAAAGATTGGCTATAAACCTTCACAAAAATTGAAATCTACAGTCATGACGTCGAACGAAATTTGTCCACACTTTTGTCTCACAACGAAATTTGTCTACACTTTGCGCATTGTTGCTAAATATTGTTCATATAGCATTTACTATCCCGTTTGCAACCAACTGTAAACTATGACCAACAAAGTCGCAAATAAAAACATATTAGGCATTGTACGTTTTGACGTCTCTGATGTCAACTGTCAAATTCACTTTGACAGAACTTCGCCCAAAATTATATGAGGCGTGGTCGGTCATAGCTCACTCTTGCTTGCAAAATAAGGATGCAAAGAATTTCACAATGAAAACTTGCTTGGGTGGTTGTATACCCATATATTTAGACTTTCACCTACATTGGCTACAAAGAACTGTTACTGATTTTTTTGTTTAACTAATAGGCTGTACCGATAAGACGAACTGATGTCATTGATCTAAATACTAGATTACTAGGAAATAGCCAATTCAGATTCTTGGAATAAATTGCGGTTGAGATGTGACTGGAAGAATGAGAATGTGTTTTTGAATGTTTTCAACTGTTCAATCATCATTTGAGTATGCAAAAAAGTTGCTAAAAAAACACAATTAGTTTCGGCACGATTGATTCTCTTTAATTTCGAAACTATAATCCCTCAAATGTGCCTTTATTTTGCTTCGCACAGAAGACAAATTATTTATTACGCGTCATTTGGATTAGCTATGCGCAATCGAGAATCTGAATTGCCTTATTAACCTAAAATACTTAGTAAATCATTGAATAAAGTTATACTTTGTCTTTGAGTGAAATGTTTTCATTATATTTTTTCAGCCTCGTACGCAAAAATATCACATCTTGTTGACAAGAAATTTCCAGATCATTCTATAAATATTCGATATAAATATATTAAATATCTCAGTCAAAGAATGACAACAGACAACAGGGGCCCCCACACCAAATGTGGCTAAGGGCCCCCTCTTTCTCTGTCACGCTACTGCATTCCAACTACTTGAAAAATACAATTAGAAATTCGACGTTTCGAGCCAAGACCATTCGTCGGGATATGTGGAATTTGAAAATGAATTCATGGGTCTGAAAATGAATGACTGTGAAACTCATACAATTACAATAACAATATAACAATATAACTCCTTATCTATGTTAGTCAACGTTTATTCGTAAATGTGGTCCTTTACCGAGGGTCTAGATCTTTACCGTCAAATGCGTATTAGTCATTTCCCAAAGTCCTGGGTTAAATTAAATGTTTTAATGTAAAAAGAGATATTTCATTTTTGGTTGTCTAAAAAGTTGATTTTGATAGTAGATACTTCTACTCTTTCACATATTCGACGCCTGTCACCATATATTTTGTCCCTCCAGACGATCCCAGAATGCACTGTGATCTCTATTGGGAAAAAGCTAATTGTATGTTTGCCAAATCCACCAATAGCGATTTCCCTATTCGAGTCACGGATAGGTAACTTTCCTAAAACATTGTTATTGGTTAGTTGGGCAAAAATACATGCATATTACACGTGACGGTGAAGGACCATATTTATGGCAACATTGATTGACAAGAATCGTCGTTAATATTCGGCAAAACTTGAAATCGACCCGATTAGTTACTTAATCATTGGTAGCTTGGTCACAGAATTAGAGACAAACAGAAGATCGACTTCTTGGTTTTTCCTATAATTTTGGCGTAAAACCGTCCTAGCCAGTGCGTTTATGAGAGGCATCCCCCCTGATCATATTCAAAATGGCGAACGTCCAGGGCCAGGGGGTGAATTCAGTGGGGTGAATTGGTGAAACGCTTTTTTGGCTTAGTCGACCATCTGTGTGTCTTTATTCTGTGGCTCAGTGTTATTGCCACGTGCGTGAAAGCGTTTGTTGTCATGGATGATCGCATGAATTAAATAAATGATCTATTTTACCAGCAGTGTTCAACGCTGTCAGTGGCAATAGCAACACGTGTCGAAAGTATTTAAATTAGGATTTCAGGCATTTTAAAGTCTGAGTACGCTTTATTGTAATATTTGTTCCAACGAGCGCGTTTCACATGTTGCTAAAAAGGTTGTTGTTTAATTTGTCAAATTCGGCGAAGATTTTGCCGGCGTTTTCAGCGAACAGAATGCTGTCAGTTCGCGTTGACAATGCCACGTCAACAGGGGCACAAAGAGTTGTCTTTCATGGGCCTAAAAAACTTTTGCAAACCGAGATTGCTGGAATTCCAGAGATCGGAGAAGGGGAGATATTAGGCAAGATTAGAGCGGCCACAATATGTGGCTCGGATCTGCACACTATTATAGGCCGAAGACAAGAGCCTGTGCCAAGGTTAGTCAAAATATTTTCACTAAATTTACTTTATTCAATAATAGCATTGTTTATATTTTCGTGACGCGTTAATGTATTAATACCACTGATCTTTTTTTCAATGTACTATTCATTGTCTACTAATCAATTGTTACATTATTTTACAAACTATCTTCAGAAAATATTAACAATAAACTAGGGTACCTGCAAGATAGGGATTGCTGCGGGTATTAAAAGCAAATAGAACTACAGTAAACAGCACAAATTATATCAAGCACAGTGATTACTTGCAGCGACTAGTGAGCTGTGAATGGAACTGAGATTCTGAGAAGAAGCAATATATATTGAAGTATCAAAGACCAGGGGTTAAAGGGCAATCAGAGGTGACAGATATTAAACATGTGCGTCTCATTGACATACAGTTAAGATCAGATTTTATATCAAGTCTGTTTACTGCTATATAGGCGCATTTACCACATTATATAGACTATATACACAGATTTATCACACTAAGAAACCAAAACTTTATAAAAATATAGAACTGATAGTGGCCAAAGTCCAAAACAAATGTAAGCGTAACATTTAGACTTGAAAAAGCTGTAGAAATTCGATAAAAATTCGAAGACTCAAGCGAGTTTAAAATTTGTGTTCTGCGCATAGAAAGCGCGCACGACCACAATTCTATGCGCTAAATAAAATTTAGTTCAAAACCTCCTCTCTGCACATATTAGGCTGCTGCTACGCTCGCTCGCTTCAGGCTCGCTTGCTCCGCAGCAATAACCCATTGTCAGTGATCACCAGTATCTCCCTTGTAAAATCTTCTGGCGTTATGTACCAGTACCCCTGGGAATTTGACTTTTCAAAAAACTGTTGGTCAAATTCCTCAGGGTGCCGGCAAAAAACATGATCAAATGCCTCTACGTCCGGGCTGGCCAGATACCCATGCATGACTGTTATATTTAATTTTTTTTTTGAGACAAATTCAGCAAAACAAGAAGCAACAACAGCTTTTTTAATGTCCTCGTTCTTATTCCAGACTTTGAACAAAGGCATAGATGAGCAAAAGATGTGTAAAGATGCTCTAAAGATGATTACAAATTTTTACTTTCACTATATTTAAGCCAGACTATTCTCTCGTGAAGGGGCATGATCAATGAGCAAATTAAATTTTATTGTTGATGTAATTCGTTCACTAGCATATTGGGTCATGAAGGTGTAGTGGAAGTGATCGGACACAAATGTCCACACAGCGATCTCAATGTTGGAGATAGACTTACCTTCACAGTTGCTGATTTCTGTCATACTTGTGAAAGATGTGAAAGTGATTTGCCACAGAAATGCTTCTCTCTTTTCAAGGTAAATCACATTTTATAGTATTCAAGACATTTGCCAATTTTTGACTCCCCCCCCCCTCCCCTCCCCTACCCCTGACAATCTGTGACATCACTCCCTATCTGAAATTCAGCGACTCTGAGCTAACTAAAAATAAAGAATCAACCTTTATTTTTCTCATAAGCAGCATAGTTTTTTGGAGTGAGTGGGCCCTTGGGATCTAGTGTCAGCATCAGCTATCACTCCACTTCACAGTATGAAAATACTTCATGCCAGCCTGTGCTTGGGGATATACCCTTATCCCCTAATTGTGACATTATGTGGCTATTGTTTAAGCACACACTCCCTCCACTTTTTTTTTTTTTTTTTAATTTTCCCCATGTACAATAAATTTATGTGTAGTATATTTACAATAATTGTAGAGTGCGGGCTAGAGACCTACTAGAAATCTTAGTAGACTTTTTATTTAAGTCTTTAGTTATGCTAATTTGTATTATATTATATAATAAATTATTTACAGTCAATCACAATATTAAAGGAATATATATATATTTACAAGAGAGAAAAAGAAGACCCTAACCCTACCCCCTAAGTGCCACATATTTTGTGTATCAGTCCCCTATGGGTACAAAGATTAGGTTCATGGAAAAACTATTTTCTCCAGTACAGCTGGCCCTTAAAAAATGTCAAAATTGAGGTTGGTAAAAAAATGCATACTGACTTATACATCACAGGTCGACACCTCTCGGTATTTTCCATTAGGATATGATTTTGGATTTAGAACTTAACAATAAAGGGCTGTTTATATGAGTCAGGTTTTTTGGGTCAAGCATACCCTGCATGAGTGGGATGATTTTTTTATGTTCATATAAGATTTTCCCATTCAGTACGGTCATGCAGATATGGACAGTGGTACGGGGTGGAATGGTTGCTATGCAACACATCTTGTGATACGCAAAGGCACTCATATTGTGAAACTACCAGATAATGTCCCAGACCAGATTGGAGCGACGCTGAACTGTGCTCTAGCCTCAATGACAAACGCTGTCGAACCGTTGATGAATTTAGGAAATTTGGCAGAAAAACGAGAAGAAAATAAAAACAAAACTGTCTTGGTACAGGTTAGTGAATGCACTTTTAAATAAGAACAATGAGGCGGAAATTAGCAAGAAATTTAGAACAAAATAAGAAAAAAACTGATGTTGAGATAAAATGTGAATCGAAATTTTGAGCCTCTTAACAAAACAACGTATATGACAGTTACTATGTGAAATATGCATGGTATGTATTCTGTTAGTGTTCTTGTGCCACTGAAAAGTAGTAATTTTTTTGGTGATTTATCAAATGTGAGCTCCGGCCAAATACATAGTATATTTGTGGTGCCAACCAAAAAGATCCTTAATTGTTTCAGGGTGCGGGACTCCTTGGTGTTTACAGTTGTGCATTGTTTAAAGAGGCTGGCTATGGAAAGATATATTGCTATGATGTTCATCCCGAGAGATTAAAGATAGCAGAAAAGTTTGGAGCAGTGTCTCTTAATGGAGGTATACGTTGTGTCAAGAATTGAAGTAAAATAAAATGCCAATGCCATAAAATGCAATGAGCATTGAGTGTCAAATTACAAGAATTACACAGTCATTGGAGGAGGTTTTTGTGATACTCTTTTTTTTTAGTATCCACAATAATGCTCCAGCCTCAATAATATTTGGTGAAAAGCGTTTGCATATTGGAGTTCCGATAAAAATGTCAAAAAAGGCTGCTTTTTGCGAAAAAAAATTCACCAAAACGCCATTCGTTTCTTGTTTTTGTGTGTGTATTTAAAACTGAACCTCCCTGTTGTACTATTAATTCAATAATTCTCTACTTCTTATTTTCATATTTCCAGATAAGAATGAAGAACAGATATTAAAGGACAATAGTGTGGACACTGTTATGGAGGTATATCCGCATGATTCTTCTATTCATATGTGGTTAAATACTGTAGCTATTCAAGACATAGACCGCTTTAATAATAAGCCAATCGAGTCCATTATTATTGCTGCTTGAACCATTCGTTTACAGTTTTAAAAGTATAATCTATCTCTAGAAAATACTGACGTTTTTTGCTGAATCGTGCACTATGACTTCTTATTTCAACACATCGAAATAATCCCGTCTCACATCTCGTCCTGGCAAAGCAGGATCATAAAAACATTTCCTTATTCAGCAAATTGCGCATGCTGCCTTTGATCCCTTGGGGGTGAGGCAGCACTTTCCTTGCGATAGTAACTTCTAGTTTTCAGCCATGTACCACAGGTACACGCAACTATAGTGCTATCTGCGTACGTTTGCCGGTACCATATGACATTTCCTAGCGCAAGCAAGGTATTCAATACGGTACCTTAGTTGGCATATATGTAAGTCTGACATGTCTTGACATGAAACATGATTGGACTGATGGGACTGAGGAATGTTGGAGTTGATTGTTGGTATATGCAATTGTGCTTCTTGTTCTAACTCGTTGTTTGAATACCTTTCAGAAACTAGTGTATTTATGTACTTTATTTCAAAGAGTACGTACATATTGAGTATTGAGTTTGTACTAGCGCAAGCACTCCGTAATCTTGAATTAGTCGCACCCTGTTATTCACACTCTCGACGCATGCACATCCAAATGACGCATGCTGAGTCTGGATAAATCACAGTTGACGCCCCCTAGTCATCAGGCCAATTATTGAATCCCTGTCGGAAAATTGTTTTCGTAGTCGGCAAAACATGAATTTTGATACAATAGTCAGCCTCGTACCCAGGCTCTTTAGTAATTAATAGCGTTTAGAGCTCTGGGTATGTGTATGAGGCAGTAGTCGTCTCGTTCGTATGGTACTGTATATTAAAGAGGCTGTGCTAGCTGTGCTTGTGTAGGTCAGGGTATATGAGAGTAATGAGACAGTGGTCGTTTCGTTCGTATGGTACTGTATATTAAAGAGACTGTGCTGTGTTTGTGTAGGTCAGGGTATATGAGAGTAATGAGGCAGTGGTCGTTTCGTTCGTATGGTACTGTGTATTAAAGAGGTTGTGCTGTGTTTGTGTAGGTCAGGGTATATGAGAGTAATGAGACAGTAGTCGTTTCGTTCGTATGGTACTGTGTATTAAAGAGGCTGTGCTGTGTTTGCGTGTGTATGAGACAGTAGTCGTCTCGTTCATATGGTACTGTGTATTAAAGAGGCTGTGTTGTGTTTGCGTGTCTACGAGGCAGTGTTCGTTTCGTTCGTATGGGACTGTATATTAAAGAGGCTGTGCTGTGTTTATGGCGTACGAGGCAGTGCTCGTCTCGTTTGTATGGTATTGTATATTAAAGAGGCTGTGCCGTGTTTGTGTAGGTTAGTGGTGTAAAGAAAGTGTTCCCAGAAGGCATGCGGGTAATCAAACCTGGTGGATTTTACACATTTGTCGGTTTGGTCCATCCTAACTCACAACTTGATGTTACCGCTGAACAAATCATTAGAAAATGTTTGACATTTAGAGGTTTGGCTTTCTAAAATTAATATACCTATTTCTTTTGTTTTTTTTCTTTTTCTCTTTGTATGTACATAATTCATTCTCACTAATCTTACATTCTCACTATAACCAAAAATTTTCTGAGCATTTAAAAAATTTCTGAGACCATTTGGTCCTGTGGTAGTTCGCGGTCCGATATGTTTTACACCCTTGGTGTTTTGCTTCATAGGTATACATAATTATGGTCCAAGACACTTAGAACAAGCCGTGGAGTTCCTGAGCAATACAGTAGATAAGTATCCTTATGACGAACTTGTCAGCCCATCTTTCGACCTCGATCAGATGAACGAAGCAGTTGAATTGGCATTGAGTAAGAAATACTTACGAGTTTGTGTCGAACCTGGCGGAGGTAAAGTAAATCACTAGGTAATAATAAACAACTAAAGCATATAAATTATGAAATATTGACTCCCTACGTACTTTATTAAACGCAGAATAGATTAATATAATATAACGTATTATATTTGCAAAATAGATCTATGAAATTGCATTCATGCATTCCTTGCTAAAATACACTATGAGTGTTTTAGCAATCATAGAAAATCATGCACTTTATGAAGAAAGCACCAAATTTGGCACAGTTTTAGCATTTGATTTGATGTGACAATGATTTTACACAGATTTAGCATTTGATTTGATGCGAAAAATGATTTGGCACAGTTTTAGCATTTGATTTCGACATGCAGGGGCATCTCAAATAATTATCTAGCATCCTCAGCAGAACCTACATTGGCTGAGCAAAATATCCATATACTGGTTGTACCAAAGTGAAACATCCTAGTTCCTTACACAACTATATAACAGACAATGAAATTCACGTTAGAGACCAGGCCTCGGTAGAGACACACTCTCTGGCAAAACAAGAATAAAATGTTGCATATAAAACATTTTATATGGTTGATTTAAAAAAAAAACGGATGTAGTTTTTAACCAGCTGAAAATGTAATGGTGTGTGCATTATAAGATCCCTCAGAATGACTGTAAATCGCTTTTATTTTTTTAAAAAACAAAGCTTGAACATTAAAAAAATACCGTTTTAAAAAAAAAAGATGTTGAATTTTTCCTATCGAGCCACCTAAATTTAATTCCCGAAGAAATCCCTTATTTTCAGTTGAAATTTTTAAATTTCTCAGTGTTACTAGATATCACTTATTCTTATTTATTTATTTAATATTTATTACAGTAAGCTTTGCCAAATATACATGCAATTACCACCATATATTTAATATTTACATATACACAATACGCACAAGTGGTAAGGTACACGCTACAGCTTTTGCCAATTACAGCGGCACTTTACATAATATATACAACACGAACAAACATTATTTTACTTGAATTTGAACAGGATAAGATACTGATTTCCATGTTCGTGGGTTCTATATCATTGGACAGAATTGGAAAAAAAACAAATTGTCATTGGAAAAAAAACAAACTCTATGACTATATAATACAGAGTATTGAATTAAGTAGTACGGATTTTGAAGTCTGTATAGAGAGAGATGTAAAACCCGCGAAAAAAGTATTTTCACTTTTTGTTGTATTTCGTAGCATTTTTTTTATATTTAAGAGTTAATGTTTTTTTGTGACATTTCTAATGATATAGGGGTGATATCTAGTAAAAGGGAACTTAAATTTGACCTTTGTTTGATTTATTACACAATGTTATAAAAAAACATGTTGTTTTGTCGCAACCATGAGCGAATCTTATTATCACATGAAATGCTATCACTGTAGTAAATCTGGTGCTTTCTTCACAAAGTGCATGATTTTTTCTGGACGATAAAACGCAGACTTTATGAAAATGTTGTATTATATATTTGCGCAGAATATAGAAAAATATTGTATTATATTTGCGCAGAATATATTAAAATGTTGTATTATAATTGCGAAATGGTGTATGACATTTCAATTACATAACCCAGTAAATTACACTGGACACACTAAAATGGTAAATAGCTTTCATATGACTACATATACCTACTTCGATCTTGAGATTTTAAACACATGATATTTGCGGTACGAAATTGCAAGTGCATTTTCTACGTCAGAAAATTACACTCGATACTTTCAAGATTGACAATTTGAAGAAGACAAGATTGACTCACAAGAAGGAAACACGTTTATTCTTATAAGATACTACGACCCCACAAGCTTATGCTTTAAACATTATCGTGCTTAAATAAAGTCATTATTATTAAAAGTCAAAGTTGTGCTAAAATATTTATATTAGTTTTCAGCTTTAAGTTTTGACTGTTTTGTTCATGTTATTGCAAACTAGTGACCCTCTTTTCTAGCTTTTTTAATTGTCCTCTCCAAAAGCCCATCCCCAGAACGTGCCTAAGGAAAGCCTGTGGAGGAGGCTAAAACTTTGCCAGAAGATAATTCCAGGGTGTTAGCCAGAAGAAGGAAAAATTCGGCAATTTAAATGAAATTGGGAAATTCAGTCTTTGCAAGTCTTCGATGTCTTGCTCAAGAAATAATAAACGCAGATACTTTCAAAAATATGGTCGGATGAGAAATAAAACAACACATGAAAACTGATGGGGCGGCATTTATACTTTTTCTGGTCCCAACAAAAAAAACAAGCGTTGCCTTGCACAAGTTAGAAACTTCAGACTTTCTTTTGTTCTTGAGGCTTGTAGATGTGCTCTGACTGGTTCACTTCTAAGTTAACATCTATGAAATATAAAAATACAACTATTTTACTATATTATATCTGTAATCAGTGGAGATTATTTTCAGGGCCGTAACTAGACGTGATAATTTGGGGGGAGGGGGGGGGTGAATATTCATATAATCATGTTCACATAGCGTAGGAAACAATCACTTTCAAAAGAAATCTGTCTGGCAGAACACAAGTATATGAATATTCGCACC